TTTTTTTTTTTCTATTCTGACATCGCGTGTCAGAATAATGAAAAAAAGACACTGCCCTGTTTCTCTCCTTGGCGGCCGGGAGCGGGAGGCTCCCAGAGCGCCCTGGAGAGTTTTTTTTTTATTTTTTATTTTACAGCAGCAGAGCCTCCGGACAATAGGAAACTATTGGGCGGAGCTAGCTGTCACTGCTAGCTCCGCACAATCGTTTTCTATTCACTTTTTTTGTACTTTTTAACTATTTTTCTGTTCTGCTCGGTACCTCTGAGGGACCGAGCAGAACAGCCGAGCCGAATGCTGCTCAGCGGCATTCGGCTATTCACTCACTGCTGTTCGGGATCTTTAAGAATAGCCGGAACAGCAGTGAGAAGCCTGCCGGGGGTTCGGCTCAGCCGATCCAGATGTTGAAGAGTGTTCGGCTCACTTCACTTCAGATCGGTCATTCACTCGGCTGCCCTCGGCAGCTTCGTGAATAGACCCCTAAGTGCGTTTCGGTGTGGTTCGAGCCCGGAATGCAGTGGATCGCATAGGTCAAAACGGGCAGCGTTGTGGGGCGAGAGAGGGCGTGTCGGTGCCATTCATGTCAATGGCATTACAGACATGCAACCCGCGGCCGCAGTGAGATCACACGCACTGGAACGTGAGGTACAGGAATGCCCTTCTTTCCAGTGCAGTGTGATCGTAACAAATAGTGCATGCACCATTTTTTTCAATTGCACTGCACGGAGTGTGTTCCTGTACTTCGCGTTTTGGTGCGGGCGATCGCACTGCGGAGGGTGAATGGGGGCATTGACATGAATGGCACTGACACACCCTCCTCCAGCCCCAGAACATTGTACGACTTGATCTACACGATCCAGTGCGTTCCGGGCTCGAAACCCACTGGATATATATAGTGTGACTGAGACCTTCACATCTAACTGATATTGTGTAACATTTCATGTTCATTTGTAATATTTGGTCCTGAACCTTTGTTCCAAGAACCATGAGACCTCTGCAAACACAAGAATAATATATGAAGACTCAAATCTGCACATTCATTTTACATTCATAGTATCTGTGCTGTTTCTGTAGTGATCTTTATAAAATACTTTAATCAGACTTCTACAGATCAACTGAGTATTTGTTAAAAATGCGATCAGGTCAGCTAAGGGTTGCTACTTGCCGATCCTGCCTTAATTATTTATTTAGATTTGACCATTAAGCAAAAGTAAGTATGCTGGTGATTATAGTGAGCTATTTCTTTGTAAATGCCATTCTTCAGTTAATGCTCAAATGGCTTTAAAACATCTCTTTTTGTTGTTTCGTTGTTCTATTTTCATGTATAATAAATATTTGGTCTGTCAGTGTCTCACAAGAGATTAATCTGAAAGCTTGCGATTTTTGGCTTAATTAGAATTCATTTGCTTAATTGTCAGTATAATCCCATCAATTCCTGTTTGCACTATCTCAGACAATGCTGTCTTGTGCTGTTTGCACTTTAATTTACATTTCGATTATAGTTTATGAGCATAATAAGGCTTTGTTTGAATATTCATTAGTATCTGGATATTATTGTACTTTATGAAAAAGGTGCTTTATTTTAACGTAATGAAATCATTAAAATCACACTGTGAGAGACTGATCAAATGTGGTGTTTTATTTGATATAGACAACAAAATGTTCTTATTTTGTTATCATCCTGTGCTGTTTCAGCTCCTTCCCAAGTAAGTGGAGTAATGAAGGAGAGAGTGTTACAGCGCATTGTCGATCTATCCTGGCAGGAGCCTGAACATCCCAATGGAGTCATCACAGAATATGAAATCAAGTATTATGAGAAGGTAAGAGCCTTTACATTGAGAACACAAAATATTTTGAAATTTTAAAGCATAACGGACCCACAGCATAACAGTTAATATAATAATTTGTAGATGATCAGCAACACTATTTTTATATTTATTTTTATTATTTTCTCTTTCTGCTACTTTCTGATCAATTTGCTTTTGTTAATCTCATGGAGTAAAAATAAAAGCCAGGGCTTAGGTCTATTGTGACCAATCAGATAACAGATCTAATTTTCCAGTAAATATCAAAATATCTTGCAAAAGAGCTATGCACCTACAATTAGTTTAGACAACATCCAACCATTGAGTATAGTCAAATTTGAATATCATTTTTTCTTACTTTTTTTTCCTCCAACTCTTTTTACATACATACACTTTAGACTACTTTCTATGATTTTATGTATAGCTATAATTTGGTGAAATCTATGTCTATAAACTAACCACTAAAGTTTATGTGTGCATTTATTGTATGCATATAACAAAACTAGGGATGTTCAGATACCAGTGCCGATACTTGTCATTTTCATGAGATTTACCAGGGTCGCAGAAGTTGCATCTGCGACAGAGCCCTGGTGTGCCACCACTGTCCTGAAATCATTAGTCTGTATTGTTTTAGAAAAACTGTCATATGACACTAAACATAAATGTATCGGTAATTGTATCTATGACTACTTGGTTTGGGAAAAATAGTATCTGTGCATCCCAAATAAATATATATATATATATCTCAAATCATACGTTAAAACAGGGATGCACACATCCCACAAGCCCTGCATGCTGCTTAAAAATAACAGCTGCCCCCTAACTTTTGAGTTTCTCTAGTCTACACTATCTGTACTTGTACCAAGTACAGTACTTGTTATCTGAACATCCCTAAAAAAAGTTATAATTTGTCTAGTTAGAAGGGCCATGTACTTTCAATTATCAACCAAAATGTTTTAAACATAGAATAGGCACATATTGCATAAAAAAAAAAAACCTATGCTGCTGCTGCTGCTGTTCCTGCTATCATTTTACGTGTTTCCACCATGTTATAATCACATTGATCTAATCATGCTAAGAATCAGCTACCACACTGATAACCACAACATTCAGTAATGTGGTGCAAGTCTTTAATAATCTTTTTTCTAGCATACTGCAACCTGTCTGCTCTATTCGATTTCACTTATCTGTTCCTTTTCTTCTAATCTTCTCCTGCTTGATCGCTCCATACTCTCAATGATTAGTGGAATACCCCTGTCTTCTCTTTAGCCTGCTCTTATCATATTTATCTTCAAGAAATCAACACTTCAACATGATTTTCTCAAACTGCGTCTTTTCTTCCTCATATACCATGTAATGTTTTGTAAGCCCTGGCTTCATTCCCTGCATGCTACCTTCCATGCTGTAAACTCTGTAAAGATAGAGATACTCATTACATGTTCCAGTAGAACCCTCTGGTGCTTTCGCACCTGCTGTGCCCATCACAAGAAAATGTATCACAATTACTAGAATATTACAACCTTGCTGCCAACTTGAGTCATTTTTACTGGCCTCTACTTTTTTGACTTTAAGTATTTCTATAAGACAGCCTAGTTTTATAAATGAGCCATTGAGTGACACAGGAATTGTAGATAATCTTAGACACTTGCCTACAGGAGGTTGGGACATCCTGCCTCAGTTTTTTGCAAGTCTCCTAGGCGGTTGGATGCTTTTTTCCTCTGCTCTGCTGGGAAATAATTCTAACCATATTACTTTTATTCATATATTTTCCTCTTCAATGCACAAAATGGATAGCTTTTATCCTCAATCAAGACATTCTAATATGGTGCTTGAGCTGCTCTCTTTACAGCAGCTATCCAGATTAGCATATTCTAAGCATACCCAGGTGGACCTAAGATTGCAGGGCTAGCTTTTAATGTGACTTTTAGACACTGTGTTGTGTTTTTGCCACTTTTCAGACCTTTGTGTAAAGTGTTAGCTGCAGAGCCATAGCACAGCCTCTGGTGTAACTCAGTGTCTGAAGACTTCCATCGTGAGTAAGGCCTTTGGGCTGAAGCATATTGTTATTTCCTCAGCCTACCTTTGGAAGATCTACCTGCGCCTGACTGGACTAGTACATTTCAGTATACCCTGGAGTGTGACCTTCCTCTGTATCATGGCACTTTTTAGACCTTACTGTACTGCATTAGTTAGGGCACTCTCCAGGTCCAGAGTTGTGGCACAGCCTCTGTTATTGCTCATTTTCTGAATACTCACTTCTATGGATGTAGCAAAAATGCCCTTGTATGTCTCCTTTAGACACTGAGCTCTGCATTGTTGTGCCTTCCAGGCCTTATGTACTGTATCAGTTATCTGCAGAGCATTTTCTCCAGCTGTAGAGCTGTTGCACAGCTTCTTTGTGACCCAGTCTCTAGACACTCACTAATGAGTAAGTCTCTAGTTATGATTCACCCGATTAAGCTCTGGAATGCCGGTAACCACTGAGATCAGCGGTTACCTTTCATTAATGGATGCCTCACTAAGGAGGCATCCAATAATGAAAGATTTAGGCTTTTTCAGACACCTGATCTCTTTTAATGAGCAGATGTCTTGACAGTGACAGAAAGTGCGGTGCGAACCGCACTTCCTATCACTGTTAGGCAGCCGTACACATTAGCAAATCCTGATGTGTACCGGCATTATGCAGAACACTTCAGCATGGAACCATTCAGCAAAAGCCCAAAGCTGCCTGTCTCAGGCTTCTGATCGTTGTGGCAATGGTCAGAAGACTTTAGTGACATCTGACCCTGGCATGCAGCAGTGCATGTTAGGATCAGTGTCACTAAGGTTATTATTGGCTGTCCCTGAGTTTGGGGCAGCCTAATAATAACAAAAAATAATTTAAATTATCAAGCAGTCATAGTGCCATCCATTCACAATGACTGCTTGATACAATTGACAACCCAGTGTTTGCAAACACTGGTGTGTCATGTCCCCCCTTCTCTCCCTGTCAGCAATAAAATGTGTGAAAAAATAAAATAAAAAAGTGATATATATATATAAATATATTTTTCAACTATCATTATTTTAAAAATTAACCCATCACAATGAAAATCTGCAGCTGAGCTGCAAGATTGTTTTTCACCCTAAGGGGTTCATTTTTTAAATGTAACCCCCTCATGACGGCGATGTTCAAAGTATGTTGCAGTTACTAAGTGTGACACTTAGTGACAGTGACAACCTGGTGTCCATTATTAGCTTTTAGAGAACAAAAATTAAATGTTAGCTTTCAGTTTTAGGCTGAGAAGTACAGAAACATTTCTGAAATCCTAGCCATGTGAGGTGTTTCCAAATAAAGGACAAATTGATGAATTTATTTTAATGCATTTTTTTAGCTGCGCTGTTTTTCTAAAAATTAATAAGTGTTTTCTTTTTGTTTTTCCCTAATTTTTTCAATATTTTTTTGTACTAACTGAGGTGTTAGGCACACATACTGTATGTGATATAAATATATAGCCCTATCTGTCTTCTAAAAAACAATATATAAAATGTGTGGGCTCACTTAGTACATTACCACAATGGAGTACATTACTACCATGGAAGAATCACATAGAAAAAATGTAAAAAGTGCTTTATTCATTAACGAACATAAACGGGAAAAAAGCTCAGTCATGAAGGGGTTAACATATCCTAATATGTGGCCTTTGGCCAGTGGACTATGCTTCGAGATACCACTTATACTGTACTATGTATCCTGCAAAGTATTATCTAGGTGTAGAGCCGTGGCACAGACCTTTGGTGTGACCTAGTCTTTCCCAACTCATTGGGAAAAAAAGCTTAAACAGCGGAATCTGCCTTATGGTTTCACCCATTCTTAATTTTTTAACTTCCTGCCATTTTCCTTAGAGAACTCTAAAATCATCAGGGTGGAGTGTTGAATGCACTTCACAGTCTTTTCCTGCTCTTTGACTTTGGAGGAGGCCTTACAAGGCCTCGTATCTACTGCTGAATTTGTGTCAGTCTGTGCTCTATTAACCCCTTCGTGACGGGAGACATACACTGTACGTCCAGCCACAAAGAGACCAAATGACTTGTCACGTACACTGTACGTGACAAGTTATTTGCTGCTTTAGAGGGCTGTTAACGCTGAGAATCAGCTTTTAACATTCATTAATGGATGCCCTTACTACAGAGGCATTCATTAATGAAAGAGTTAACCTTTTTCAGACACCCGATACCTTAATATCGGGTGTCTGAGAGTCAAAGCAGAGCGGACTCGCATGCCGGCTTTTGCCGGCATTCTGACAGCTCGTATAGATCGAGAGAGATATCTCTCTCAAGCTATACTGGCTTTTTTTTTTTTTTCTTTCATGAATAGATACATAATGTGTCTATTCCTATAATGTATCTATTCCTGGAAGAAGAATGTTTGTTTGCTGATCGTTGCAACAATCAGAAAACTAGTGACAGTTGAATCCTGAACTGCTGCAGGATCAGTGTCACTAACTTATTATCGGCTGTTCTGAAGTTTGAAGCAGACTGATAATAACCAAAAATTTATTAATTTATCAAGCAGTAACAGTGAGATTAATTCACAATGACTGCTTGATATAATTAAATAAATAAAATTACATTTTTAAGTTTTAAAAAAAAGTGAAAAGTGTAAAAAAAGAAAAAAGTGTAAAAAAAAAAAATATGTAAAAAATAAAATAAGGGACAAATAAATTAATATATTTATTGAATTTTTTTTAGCTGTGCTGGTTTTGTAAAAAAAAATACTACAAATCAAAACTGGGAAAAAAGGTTTTTTTTAACGTTTTTTTTCCTCTTTTTTTATATTTTATTTGTCCTAAGTGAGGCGTTAGACACACATATGTGATATAAATATATAGCCCTATCTGTCCTCTAAAAAACAATATATAATATGTGTGGGTGCACTTTGTAAGAAAGTATATTACTGACGTGGAAGAATCACACAGCAAAAATGTCAAAAGTGTGTCAGTCATTTACGAACAGAAACTAAAAACAAGCTCAGT